TTAAAGGGGATTTTCTCAATATTTTGATTTTTTTGCACCCTCAGACTCCAGATATTCAAATAGTTGTATCTCGGCCAAATATTGTCCTATCCTAACAAACCATACAAATCAATTTATCAATGGAAAGCTTATTTATTCAGCTTTCAGAGGATGTATAAATCTCAATTTCGAGGGTTACATATAAGAAACTATATTCACAAGAGGAAAGTGTCAATATTTCCTTCCCATTAAAAGGTCACTACAAAAATTCCAATATAATGTTTACATGATTCAAGACCCTATGGAGGCCTGTTTCCAGCCTAGAATTAAAAAAAAATCAAATAAATTAATTAAAAAGGTAAAACTGAGTTTTATTGTACAATTCTGGTCTTTTTTTATAGACAACACTCAGAATTTTAACATATAAACTCAGAATTCTGAGATGTAAACTCGCAATTCCAAGTTTAGATCTCACAATTCTGTGTTTATATCTCGTAATTCTGACTTTTTTCTCAGAATTTTGAGTTTACTCGTGCACACAATTTACTAATTAATTTCCTCGTTTTAAGTAAATGGTGTGCTCGATTTAATAATGTGTTGACTCGTTTTAGTAAATTGTGTGCACTAAATAATAATTGGTGCTCTCGTTTTAAGCAAATTGTGCAAACAAAATAATTTATTCTGCTTCCTGTCCACATTCTCCATAGTTTACATCTCGCAATTCTGTTTTTCTCTCCCACAGAATAATTGACAGGCGATCTGACCAATCATAATGCTGAATCTGCCATTTTTGTCTGACAAACAAAAAAGAGAGGAGAGTAGATTAATGTCGGTGGACTTGAACTTGAAAAATGGTGTGTACTTACGTCTTTCCACAGTTGAAACAAGATACCTTCTAATGTTCATTCATGTTTTCAACTAGTAAAGAGAAAGAGATGATTGGTTCGCGTGCCTCTTGAACTGAGGAGCTACAGCAATCTGTCACGACACATTAAAGAGCCACAAAACGGCATTTATTGTTTGAATTTCTTAAAAAATGACACAATTTGAAAGCTGAGACTTTGTTTCATACCAAAAGTAACCTGCTCTGTCTTGTGTGTCGGTGCGTTGTCAGTTTCCTCTTTGCTCCGCACTGTATTTTTCACTGCTTCAGAACATAATGTGTGGTATGAGAGTGCCATGGCTTGCTGGACATAGCAACAGTAACTAAGGGTGGGTAGTGGGTCTTTGCGAAGGGTCAATTATTGAAATTTTTACAGTTTTGAAAAATAAAAATTCAGAATTGCAAGGATTGCAAGAAAAATGTCAGAATTGTAGTCACAATTATCTTTTTTATTTTTATCCCATGGCAGAAGCAGTTTCAGGAGACAGTATGTTTAATGTTTATTAAATTAAATAAGCAATGTGCAAAGGTCTAATGTGTCCAGTATAGAACCACAAATAATCAATTCAATTCATATTTATTTGTAAATTAAGCATCGTTTTACTTTTTGAAAATGAAATAGCAAGGCTTTAAACAGCTGAAACAGCTTTAAACGGCTTTAAACAGTTAAAAGGCTTTAAACAGCTGTTTTATTTAATTTATTATTATTTATTAGATTTAGAATTACTTTTTTAGCATTTTTTAGCCTTTCAATACTTATTAATATATAAAGTATTGTAAACAAATAATAAAATTAATGTAGCAGTTGTCAGCCCTAGTATTTCAATTATTTGTATGTGTCTATACTGATTTCAGTGACTTCCTGCAGGCAGCTCACAGGGAGCCTGAGACTAAATCCAGTACAGACTAGTCCATCAGAAGTTTGTCTATCAACAAGCAGGTTTACATTATGAAATCACATCTGAAAACCTGCTTTCCTCATCTCTCTTGTGGATGACAGCCTGACAGAACAACAATGCTACACAGAGGACAAGCATTAGGAGACATCATCTGGACTTGTCAGCCAGTTTGCAAACTCACTATCTCAACATATGAGCATGTGACTTTGCACTGACAGTTTCAACCACTCCTTTATTTCGTTGTGTCTATTACTTCATGACCTCTTTGTTTTTTCTATTATGAAGATTTCTAAGAAAATGTAACTACTCTGAGACATTCACTTTTCATTAAAGTATTTCTGACCTGCCCCACCTTCCAAAGGGGTCTCTTTCAACAAACTCTGCAGATCTGAATCTGTTTTTCATTATTGTGAAGGGACCTGCAGGAAACTGAAGTCATGGTAAATTATGATACCAAACTTCATTCTGGATCAATAGATGTAACATTTATCCCCCCCACACACCCTCCCAAAAAACACCTCGGTTTAATCTAATAATATGATGGGATAGAAAGGTGCATAATAAAGACATTTTTAGTTGGCATCAGCTATTTGAATTTTTTAGTTATTATTACACAATTGCATATACAGTAGAAGACAAAAATTACACTCATTTTGTACAATGACCCATGAAATATAATGTGCCCTGCCCATGTTCATATAATGATTACATACTATACATCTACTATAGTGCTGCCACATTTATCCTGCCATTAAAAAGCTTTTAATGCTTCACAAACCTGTGCTCTTAAACACTAGCGGAGTTGTTGCAGACACATGATGGGTCACTCTGCGGGTTTATTTTTCCCATTGCTGATGCATCATTGCTACAGAAAGCTCTATTCTGTGAGATCAATGAAGGATAAAAGCAGCACTTTCTAGGTCACTTCCTTCTCAGGTCTCAGGACTTCTCGCTCACTGCACCATATTGCCAGAATCATTTATATTATCCCCTCACCTATCTCACCGCTTTTCCTGAAAGCTGTTGTATAAGGGGAGAAGAAAAACTCTGAAAATGAGCTTCTTAATAAACCATATTCAACCAAAACCTCACGAAAAAACTCGAAAGGGGACAACATTTATGCAATACTATATGCAATTTTTACCCCAGATCAAAGTCGTGAATGCTTAAAAACACAAACAACCTACAAGTACTCATAGACCGCAATGGAATTGGGCCTTGGGTCAAGCTAAATTGGGAAGCACTCCTCAAAACATCTCTACAGAGAATTTCTCTTTTCAGAGAAACCTTCAGCAAAGTCAGCCTTAGCAGTGACAAAGGGCATAAAAAGACCAAAATGTAAAAGTACACACAAGACAAGTGAAGGAATTCTATTACGGTGGAAAGGATTGGCTGGTGAGCAATGGCAGGGCTCATCTTTGTGATGCCGGTTCCCTGTGAGCAGGTCAGAACAAAAGGCATCTCAAAAGTTGGGTCTGGTCTGTTTGCTCTTTTCCCCAGGAGGTCAGTCTTTCTGAGGAGACCCCATGATGTGAAAGTTGTTAAACAGCCAGTGTATGGCTCTTTTAAAGGCCTCAAAAGAGTCCACTTTTTCACACTGGAAAAGACTTCAAATAAATGTTTTAAACATCTCAATGTTTGGATAGTTATTTATAGGTTATAAGATGTTCAATGCAATAGGAGAAGGAAAGTAACTTGTCTGCTGCAGCTATTACAGGACAGCGGTTACACTTGGGTAATTATGTTTGAAACTTGTTAAGGGAATAAGGTCTAATTTGGGACATATGCAGGTCTTCATTCAGGTCCATTTGGCTTTTAAACTAGGCTCATTAATAGGATTTGATAGTCCTCGCCTTTATAGAAGTATAACATCTGGAGAGAGTTACAAAATTGTTACAAAAAACTGCCACAAAATCACCTGAAGTCATTCATTTTTAAAATCTTTAAAAATCTAGTTTAAAAATCGCGCCAAGTTGTATGAAATGTACGCTTAGTATTCATGTTGGTTTTATATGGTTTTGTAAATGTAATACAAGAAAAGTTTTAAAGGGGTCATATGATGCTTTTTTAAAGATCATTATTTTGTGTATTTGGTGTAACAGAATATGTTGACAT